GAATTCGCCCATTACAAGTAGTATGTTCTTAGCAGCTGTGTGTGATCGCTCATCAGATATGCCCGCCTTTTTCATTAAATTCAAAAATAAAATAATATGAATTATTCATACTGACCATGTGCATGGCTAATGCCACTGGTAGATAGAAAGAATAAAAGGCAGTCTTGTACTTCACAATAGCGTTATATCTAAGATTATGTTATTTTTCACACCAATCATTAATTTTAAACTAACCTTTCTATTGTGAAGCTATTGAGATCAACACTGTCCCCAGCAGGAGATGTAATCAAGTCAAGGCACTGGCCCATTTCTGTTTGATAGGTAATCTAAATAATATTTAGAATATATTGTGGCAGTTATGAAAAGTAAACCTCATGAAATAGCTCCATTATGTTGATGTAGTATGGCTCTGATTTGAAGTGGTTCTTTAGAATGAGATAGAGTGTCCCTTCAATAAGGAATGAATCATTAATGGCTACCAGTCCGATGCCAGTCTGTGAAGTAGAAGACATTATAATTAGAAATGAACATAGAAGGACACACCTTTTTGTACCAACATGGCTGACCTCTTCTTGTCAGTGACTGGTCCATGATGTCATCAGCTACCAGAAAGAATGCTTGAAGCTAAAAGAAGAAATGAGGCAATAAATTTATCTTTGGAGCAACTTTTAAAATTTGTAAAAAAATCCAATTTTGATCGGAATCAGCTCAAACTTTCTACACAACATAAGAACATGCATATGTAACAGATAAAATGGAGAATTTTCAAAACTTCATTTTTGGCAAAATTTGGCCAAAATCCCTGTACTATAGTACAGGGACTTTGGCTCGATTTTTGAGTAACTTTAAAAATTCATAAAAAATCTAAACTTGATCAGAATAAGCTCAAACTTTCTACATGACATAAGAACATGTATAGGTACCAGAAAAAATTATAAAAATGGAGAATTCTCATTTTTTTCATTTTTGGCAAAATTTGGCCAATGTCCCTGTACTATATATAGTACAGGGACTTTGATCTGATTTTGGAGCAACTTTTAAAAATTCATAAAAAATCTAATCTTGATCAAAATCAGCCCAAACTTTCTACACAACACAAGAACATGTATACGTATCAAATAATAAAATGACACACCCATTCAATGACACACCCATTCAATGCACCACCCAAGTGCTATTGCTTTGTTTTCTAGTTCGGGCGTCATTAGTTCCAGTCCAAGTAAATGACAGAGAGAACCAATCACCATTAGACCACGATTGAGCTTCCCTAATAATAATAATTATTATTATTATCAATTTTAATGGCACATACCATGAGGTACATTGTATTGTAATACCTATTATAAAAGAGATATATGTACATAGGAATAATAATAATTATTATTAAATACTTCTTTCAGATGCTTTAGAGCATCCAAAATTTGATGGCTGTCCTGTCCTTCCTTTGTGAGCTCCTCTACAAGCAGTGGAAATAAATCCAAAAAATTTTGGCGATACTTTTCAGCGAAATGTCCACTGGCCTGTGTTGAAGCCATTTGTTTTGCAGGGTGAGTGGGCGTGGTCAATAGACAATAGTACTAGTGGGCTGATCTCTGCAGGTCATACAGTGCAGTGGGCAGATCTTGTTGTCATTCTTTCTCTAGCCAAGGCCTCGCGCGATTCCTGATTTCAAGGGCGTAAAATACTTCTTCAAGCTCACATGATCAGGGTAAGGAAGATACACGATGCTATTTTGCAGAAATCTTGCCACCACACCACTACTTGTCACGTGAAAACTGATCTATTACATATAGTCTGTCACGTGACTAGACTATCTGTTTGTGGTAAGATTGTTGACTGTAGATCATGAGGCATTTCACATTAGCATTGATTCTGCATTGTTTGATCACATGCAAATCACATGACACATGCACCATTACCACTACCTCTTCTTTCCTCTCACAGACTCACATCATGAAAGCAATACGTGTACATCGTTACGGAGGACCTGAAGTACTTACTCTTGAATCTGACGTTCCGATACCATCTCCAGGACCTGAAGAGGTTCTAGTCAAAGTGAAGGCCGTAGGAGTTAATCCGGTTGAGACTTACGTACGCTCTGGGAGGTATTCTCGTTTAACACCTTTACCTTACACTCCAGGGACTGATGGTGCTGGTCTAGTGGAAGAAGTAGGGTCTTCGGTGAGTGGGGTGAAGAAAGGAGACAGGGTCTATGTATCAAAAACCCTCACTGGTTCTTATGCTGAGTATACCCTAGTACCAAGGAACGGGGTTCATCCTTTGCCTGAGGATGTTACCTTTACTCAAGGAGCTGGTTTAGCTATTCCTTACATAACTGCGTACAGGGCTCTCATTTTAAAAATGAACATTCGTCCAGGGGAGTACGTCCTAATTCATGGGGCCAGTGGTGGGGTGGGTATAGCTGCTGTTCAAATTGCTAAAGCATATGGAAGTATTGTCATTGGTACAGCTGGTACAGAAGAAGGAAAGGGTTTGGTTAAAAGTGCCGGAGCTGATTATGTTTTTAATCACCGTGATCCTGATTATGTTGAGAAAATGAGTGACATTGTGTCTCCTAATGGTGGATTCAATGCCATCCTTGAGAATAACGCCCACATTAATCTTGATAAAGATCTCAAAATCCTGACGGAAGGGGGAAGAGTTGGGATTGTAGGAAACAGGGCAAACATTGAGATTAATCCTCGCGACACGATGGTCAAAGAATCCAGCATAATTGGAGTAGCTTCTTTCCATTCTACTCCTTCAGAGCTTAAGGAGACTCATGCTGCACTACAGGCCGGTATGAGGAATGGCTGGTTAAGACCGGTTGTTGGTAAAACCTTCTCTCTGTCTAATGCTGCTGGGGCCCATGATGATATTATTAATGGAAAAGGAGCTTTAGGGAAGACCGTACTAACTATTGATGACTGAATCCCCTAATTTAATTTATTGATTTCATTGAAATTAACTATAATTTGATTACATAGATGAAATATAACATATATAACATGCCAATATGGGTCAATACACCCTCCACCTCGGATTCTTTGAAATAATATCACCCTTGGGCCTTTGGCCCTCGGGTGATATCAATTCAAAGTATCCTCGGTCTCAAGATATCGACTCCCATATCGTCATGTTATATATATAACATACATATATATATATCATAATTATGACATCATCCTTTGATGTGGTGGGTTCTATATTTTGTATATAGACCTGCCATCAGTGTCATGCAGAAATGCTGTCATCATTATGCAATATATCATATACAGTATACTAGAATGGTCTATAGGGCCTTTGGTTTGTGTCCTTGGATGTCCCTTGGGCCTACGGCCCTCGGGCTATATCAAATCCTCAAACACAAACCTCAGGTCCTATATTTTGTATATATGACCTACTAGTATACTATATAATACACATATTATATATATATTAATCAATAATTTTGAAAAAAACGGCGCCCCATAGCTATAAAGAGGCTAGACCAGTTCTTGCCTTCCTGCAGGTCAATCTCTTTCATTTGTATCATTTTGTTTTGTTTCTCTCTTCTACTGTCTTTGTCCTGTAAAACTTTATTAAATTAAAAAAAGTAGATGAATAGCTGAACACTAAACATTGTGGTCTTATTGTCAGTTGTCACGTGGTTTTTTTAAATTTTTTTAATGACCGCGAAAACGGTAATTGCAGTAGAGTAATTTTACTGTCTACAGTCTGAGCCCTGGAGGCTATAGGGCAAGATTGACATAGATCTAATTACTGTAATTAGCATTCTTTCTGTTGTCAGTGTGGCAGTTAATCATGAAGGGAAAGGTTCACGACGTTACTGTCATTGGGGCAGGATGGTCTGGGGTAACAGCAACAAAGTATATGCTCGAGGAAGGTCTTTCTGTCGTTACTTTGGAAAGAAGAGACCATCTGGGGGGATTGTGGTATTATTCAGATGACCCATCAGAGAAGAGTGTCATGAAAAGGACCAGGGCTACTTCCTCGGCTACGGTCAGTGAAATGTCTGACTATCCCATGCCCGAGAGTATGACTGAATTTCCTCATCACAAGCAAATGCTGCAATATCTTCGCTCTTATGCGAGTCATTTCGGAGTCCTCCCCTGTATAGTGTTCAATACCACGGTGACCGGTGTATCAAAAGAAGGAGACCTGTGGCAGGTTACAACAGTCAACAGTGATGTTTATACAAGTAAATTTCTTGTTGTGTGCACTGGTCAAACGATACCGCTAACAGGTCCAAAGGAAACAATATTTAAAAATTTCTCTGGCCCCGTACATCACGCCAAAGAGATAAGGGACCTGATGCCTGAATATAAGAACGAGCGGCTCTTAATATTCGGAGGTGGGGAGACAGCTGCTGACATATGCAGTGAATGGTACGATCATGTCAGCGTCATTTACTGGAGTTCGCCTCGAGGGCAACATTTCTTTCGTGGTTACGGTCGAGTTCTTCCCTTTTTGAAACCGATAGCCCTTGACAAAGCCTCATCCTGGATTGTTGACAACATTTCTCCGTATCACAAGAGCAAACCAGGTTTCAACTGGATCTGTAAGTGGACGACAAACGGATCATTGCTAGCTTATCAGGGCCATGGCATACCAGAGTGGAAAAACAACACTCCCTTAATGCATCAGTTTGTAAATAAGAATGGGCACGTCCTTGATTTGGTTGATTACATCAAAGTAGTGCCAAAAGGAGCCATTACTGAGTGCAGGGGGAAGACAGTAATGTTTGCTGATGGCTCAAGCTCAGAGTTTGACGTTGTCATACTGAGCACTGGCTATACGGAGTCTTTTCCTTTTTTACCAGAGGACAAGCGACCTCGTGATTTTCTTAAACTTCATAAGCAGATCATCAACAATGATGATCCGACCTTGGCCTTTGTTGGATTTATTCGTCCAGTTCTTTTCTCTGTGTTTGGTGTCGTGGAAATGCAGTCAAGATGGCTCTCAAAGATGTTCAGTGGAAGTGTCCAGATGAAGAGCAGGGCCGATCGAATTAAGGAAACAAATTCTGATGCACGCTTTTGGAAGGAATACTTCAAGACAACCGTTCAGCCAAGAGATAAAACTGTTGAGTTTTTCCTTTACGTTAATGGTCTTGCGAAACAGATTGGCGTCTATCCAAATCGTTCAAAGCTTTTTAAAAGAAGCATCTATGGATGGTATGTCTCTCTAGCAGCCCCTCTTAACTCATCCATCTTTAGACTCAACGATGAGGAGCATGCCACCAGGGCACTTGTGAATCTTGATAAGCACAGAAAAGGAACTCTGGCTTTATTCTATTTCTCATTCTTTTTCCTTCGTATTCTCCACTTCACTGAGATTCTGAGTGTCCTTGAGAGCATCAAGTATAGAATCCAAACGTCAAAAGTTGGAAAGTTTTGTTATAAAGTCGTTGGCCAAACAAGAATAGTAAGGCTCATCGATTGGATCTGGTGCATTCCAAAAAGAATATTCTTTGACAATAGGTCAAAGTTACCTGCAGTTCTACCAATTGACATGTGAGACTATTTTAAAGTCATTTTTGCCCTTTTATTCATTGATCATTCCAATATAGTGTAGAGTTCAGACTTTAATTATAATCATCATAATTATTTGGTTTTTTTTTCAATACTTAATGCAATGCCAAAATATTACACACATTAATATCAACATTAGTCTACATAAGGCTTCTTACTAATAAACATCAAAGTCATGACTATTATCATTCATGCTTAATTGAGCCACTCCTCATCAGGCAAATCTGCCAAAAGTCTCCTGGCTTCATCAGTTTCGTCATCATCTTTCTCTTGACGACATTTGACATGTTTCTTGGTGGAGTAGTTCAACAGTATCCATGATGCAAACCTGCTTTTCTTTAATAACTGTACAAGACATGTACCCATTAATGCTAAAAATAGCACATTGTTAATAAATCCAATGCAATACAAGTAATAATTAGCACTGCTTCGTGCAAAAGATATTCCCAGCACAATCTGAAGAGTTGACAAAAGGAGACAAATAGTATCCATTCCATTGAGGACTTTACTCCTGAATGGCCTAAAGAGGGACTGAGAGACACAGAATAAAAGAATAGGAATGAACTGGAGAAACAGCATTGAAATGAGGCTGTATCCTCTCAGGAGACTCCACATCATGTACACATAAGAGACTAGTATTACTCTTAGGCCAAACCAATAGCCTTTCCCGTGTTTGTAAGGACCTTGAAATGCTTCAATATACTGCCTCATGTACTTATTTATTAGACTCACTCTCAGTAGCCATTGACCAAAAGTAACAAACACTATGAAGGGAAAGATGTAGAGTAGTAGAGCTAGGAGAGAGAAAGTAAAGAGGAGGATGTGTCCATTGTTAGAGAGATAGAGCACACTGCCATCACCATACCACACTATAACTGTGCCACTGCTGGAGGAAGTGTGGACTGGTATGTAAGCAATGATATCAATGATGGTCATTAGTATCTTTGAGAATGACAAGTACATTAGTGATGCAAGTACCTGTACCGAATGCATTGCAGTTTTATTGGAGACGCGAGTTGAAAAATGACTAAATATTATGAATCCAATGATCAGAATCCATAAATATATGGGATAAGCAAACAAGAGCCCAGTCTTGATGAGAGGAGTCATGCCATCATAAAAACAGAGAGGGAAGCCCAAACTAAGGTTCACCACTGATACACAGACTCTAACTACATACAAGAACCAGCCCTGCCTTTCCTCCTGGAGGTCAAAGGTTGATGCTGCAGTTATATTCATTGCAATGATAATGCCAGCTAGTGGCCCTTCAGATATTGTTAAAGGAAGATACAACATGATGGCTACCAGTACTATTCCTGAGAGTGCATATCCAAAAAGACTCAACAGCCAAATACTTGAACACTCCAAGCACTGACTAGTGCCAAATACTACAGAGAGACCAATGCGACACTGACTGCACAACACTCCTTCTTTAGTATCAGTGCATAATGATGAAGGATCAGTCATATTAAGGTAGGAGAGCCCCCTCTGACAGTTGGTAGGAGGACAAACAAAAGAGAGACCTAGTGAGTTTGATGCATTACCCATCCACTGGCCATCAGTGACTAATGATATTGAAGTATTGCTGATATTACAGTGTATGTTTGGTATTAGGCCAGTGAGCAATGGATCACATATACATTCACCTTGATTTAACACAAAGCCAAGAGGACAAGGGTGTACGAATAGATAAGCAGACCATGACGGGGAACTGAATGGTATAGCAACAGAAAAAAGAGAATGTCTTAAAGTGTTTGATCTGCTATAAACATTATAACTAACATAAGTGCAGTCCTGGCCAGATAATGGAGAAAGTGTCTGATGATGCAGCAGGTATAGGTCATTCTGTATTGGACTCTTCTTAGTCAGTTTGTCATTATTGATGGAAGCAACGGCAGCAGAATAGACAATACTACCTGATGAATCAACAGCACACAATGGAACTGATATCATCATTCCAGGATACGAGTGAATGATGCTTGATACCTCATTATACGAACAGGATATCTTTAAACTAGTGGCATCATTGCTATAACTGCATGAGCATATCTTAAAGGGCCCGGAGGAAATTTCTTGAAGACCTTTGAAAGGATTTCTTGCTTTGAAAGTTGTGATACTTGACCAATTGAAACGTGATGGATTAGTTAGTGAAGGGAATATTTGAGAACAGTTATAAAGTGGTACTATGTACATTGAAACTCCAGCTAGTCCTGCTTTGTTATCCATGAAATGTAAATTAATATTCAATTCAGTGTCATTAGTGTATTGATGGATAGGCTTCACCTGAAGAGCACACCTCTGGTGGGTAACAGGGGCTGGTATATTGTGAGCATAAACGGCACCACCATAAAGAAGAGCAGCATTCCTAATGAAGGATGCATTGAGAGGTTCTTGTAGTACAAGGTAAGAAGACTGAAGGTAAACTGCAGGTCCATTCACACCTTTGTTCCTCTCAAATGATACAGCCCCAGTCAGGTATACCTCACTGTTGTAAGCAGCTATCACTGGTGCATTGTTCTCCCAGAATCTTCCACCAGATATAGTTACATTGTTCCAGTTAATAAACGTGAAGCAGGGTACGTTTGAATATATGCCATAGATATTGTTACCTTTTGCACATTCACGAGCTAGAATTTTTGAAAAAACCAGTGAAACACTTGCACTGGTTGAATCCTTGAGTTTATGACTGATGAAGGCATACGTTGCTGATCCTGATACTGAAGCATAGCTCCATCGGAACCGTACTCTCTCTAGTATAATCAATAACTTTGAAGGGCCACAAGCTTCAAAAATATTTAAAAACAAGTTACTACTATATTTTGTATGTGAGCGTTTAATCACTGCATCATATGATCCAGTTCCTCTTACAAATGAATCCTTTATTAGCAATGGAGTCTTATACAAGCTAGTTTCAGTAACAGGACACTGGCCACACAGGAAAGAGTAAACAGCAATTCCGTTGCCACCTTCTTGAAGAGAGTCAGGCATATGGATCAAGTTAAAGGCATCTATGGAAAAAAATGATACTCTGGAATTAAACATACCATTGTAATAGAGAATGAGTGAAGATCCAGCAATGCTGCCTGCACATACATCAAGAATAGTATCAGTAGAAGTGAAGGAAGCACCAAATGTTTGATTGAATATGATAGTGATGCCACCAGATCCTAGCAATGGTAGCCTACAGAACTGATGGTGTGGTATGAGGTTGAGTGGAGGGATGTTGTGAATGATGTTAGCATTCATTCTAACAGCTGAATTGGTGAAACTGACCTCTGATGGTGTAGCTAATTCAAAGGTTGTATTCGTATCTTTAAACAAACACATCAGGCCAGAGCCAGAGCATATATTAGTGCCAGAATGACATGAACTACGTGAAATAAAGATTCCATACATAATTGACATTCCACGTATACCATTTGATGTACCTAGTGGGTTCATTAGTAAAACTGCATATCCAATGTAGTAGTGTATAATAATGTTCACCAGATTCATGTCCTTACAGTGATTGAAGGCTAGTGTGGCTTTCTGCTCGTAAAAGAAGTATGGATGAGTTTCATTCATTTGTTCGATTGCTTCAAGAGTGAGAATAGCACCACATCCTTTGAACTTAATATTGTGTAGTTCTATACCAGTGACATTAACAAATCCAAAACCCACAGTTGAGATATCCCTGATAGTGGACAAACAAGTTATGAGAGAAGTCTGACCAGTTCGTAAACTTTGTATCTTCAATTTCTGAACATCTCTCAGAATGCAGAAACCTGCAGTGTTCTTTAGTTCATATGTTCCTTTGGTGAGATACAGTGTTGTATTATCCTGTACTGGTGAGTCACTGCTACACAGGTAATGCCAGAGCTCCTCATTACTGCTAATGTAGTGATCAGTAGCAGCAGAAGATAGTGCAATGTTGGCTACTAACAAGACACTGAGTGCAAAGCAAAACTTCATAATCCTGCAGTAAACATACCAGAAATGACACAGAGAGTGCTAGTATTACTGCTTTATATACTGCTACCTGCTCAGTGATTATATGTATGCAGTTCATCACTGACTGTTGTGCAAACTCTTTTTGATGATTGTGTTTATTTAACATTTTGAAAGTTTGTAGAACTGCAGGTGTTTCCCTTTCATTAGACACATAAAACGATCATAAAACGTAGAATAAACAACTGCATTATGTGTATATATTCATATTCTTGATATTAATATGTATCTATGTCTTATTAAAAATCTAATGGTCCTGATTATAGAAAGCACGCTGGAGTCTGTCCCTCTCTGGAGTTGTCACAAGTGGATAATTACAATATTTCATTCCTTTTGATCTCTCATCTTGTCCGGCATTTTCTGTCAATAGTTCAATTCTCTCCTCCTCTTCTTCTTCTTTGAGTTTTTTTGGAGAGCCACGAGAGAGAGCAAGCAATCTGAGATACCTCAGCTTATCTGTCAGTTCTTGCTCAGGTTTGTAATAGACAGGTAACTTGTCTCTGTCAATCCTATCAAAAATTAGTCGTTAATTCAGCAAAAAAAATCACCAAAAATTTATACCATTTATTTAATACAACAGCATAGCATTACCTCCTATGATGACAATGGTCTTGAAGCTCATCATTTAAAGATTCATCAGATTCAGAGAGACTATCATTTTCACTGCATTGCCCCAAGGCAAGCTCTTCCTTTACTGTTGTACTGTCAGTTGTATCAAGTGTAGGACTGATACTGTGAAGTATCTGTTCATCTCTTCCATCATCTGTACTTAAGGAATGATTATCATCATCATTGGGTGGCTTCTTTAAGAGTGTTTGAAGGATTCTTTGAACTTCATTTCTTTCTTCAAGATCAGATGATAAAAGTGTCTGATTCAATTCATCATCTTCCCTAACTCTCACTCGTGGAGAGTTGACTAAAGTTGATACATCTTCATCATGATTGAGTTCATTCTTCAAAGGAGAAAGAGAAGAAGACGTATTAATGCTAGCATTTAAATTAACTCCATCTTTATCCTGAAGCATCTCATCTAATATTGACTCATTTAGTACAATACCTTTAACTTCTTCTACTTCTCCCTCCTCCTCCTCCTCCTCCTCACTTTCCTTTACTCCTTCCTCTTCTCTCTGTTCCTCCTCCTCCTCCTCCTCATTCTCCCTTTCTCTTTCCTCCTCCTCTTCTTCCTCTTCAGGTATTTCCTCCTCTCCATTACTACTGATTGTTAATTCTTTATCAAAAGGCTCTTCTCCTTCTCCTTCTCCTTCTTCTTCAACAGTGTCATCATTAGTAACAGGAGATGGAGTTGGTGATGGTGTGACATGTGAGGCTGGTGAGCTATGTGAAGGAGGTGGTATACACACACGTAGAGGAGATGAGTGAAGGTTGATTGGTGATGGTGAGGTTTGTTGTACATCATGTAGAGTTGAGGAGTGCTGAAGGTTAGTTGGTGATAATGATGTTTGATGTATGTGTAGAGGTGATGAATAACTAGTAGGAGAGGGAGACCTTACTGGTCTAAGGAGAGGTGATGACTTATGAGGTCGAGTAGGAGACAGTGTAAGTGACTGGTGTTGAGGAGAAGGTGATTCTAAAGTAATGTTATGATGAGTAAGGACATCACTAGGAGTATGATCCAATGAAGGAGGATTACTAGGAGATGGGCTCAAGTGTGTTGTCTTTAAAGGAGATGTGTTCAAGTGAGTTGCATTGCTCTGTTCTTTTTGGTTCTCTTCATTCTTTTCTTTCTCATCATCTGTTAGTTCCAAATCACTAGAGCTGTCAGAATCCATAGAGGCAGCCTCAATACTGACAGGTACAGGCTCTCTCTCCTTTGGATTAGTTCTCTCATCCCCAAAGGTCCCCACTAAGAAACTGTCACTATTATCAGTAGTAAGTGACAGTTTACTTAAGATTCCTTCTTCATTATCATTAACTTTAGTTAAGCTATAGTTTGCTATAAAGTGATTTGTTGTTGATCCAGTAGTGGTAGCAGTAGGTTCTACTGAGGTAGGGTCTTCCAATCGCTTGAGTAATGATTCACGAATAGAATCAAGTTCTTCAACGTGCAACCTATAATTAGAATATATATGGTGGCAATTATTTCTATCGACAAACTTTAAATGTTTCCTCAAAAGTGAAAGGTTTTCTTTGATTTTATCTTCGTCTCGTTTGTCGTCAATCTGGGAGAGTATGGAAGAGAAATCAGTCACGTGGGACACAGGTATGGGTACATTGGACGTTGGCAGTGGTTGACTGGACGAAGGAAGTGGGACACAAGAACCAGACACAGGTAGAGGGACACTGGACGACACGTAAGACCAATGTGTGCTGCATATACTCCCTCCAACTCCGCCCAAAACTCCGCCCATTTCTTTAGGCATATTAATAAACTCTTTTGGAGTGATGGCTACCTAATAAAGCCATTAATAACTAGACCACACCCACTTAATTACCTTTAATTGTCCTCTAACGTCTCCGGAGAGATCAATAATGTTGTACCAGCCACAAAGTGTCTTTAGACCATAGAGCAATGGAGAAAGATCAACGTAAGCTCTTCCAATGAAAACATGAGAATAAGGATCAGCATCTGGATGAACATAGACAAGACCATGAAACTATTATTGTATAATAATTAATAATGTATTGATATTGTGATATGTATCAGGAAATGTAATGAAAATGGAGGATTCTCTTCATTGTGGTTACCTCTCATTAATCTCTGAGTATCATCTTCATTGCCTCTTTCCGGAAGACTCCAAACTTGAAACTCTAGCTCTCTACTGCCGTAGGAGGACTCAAGGAAAGACCGAGGGAGGCGTGTGAGGCAGGGGTACTCCCAACGAGGGTCCCTGGTATCACGAGAGGTGGGTGTGGTCACTTTAGAGACTGAGGGGTGAGGGTGACAAGTTACGTATGGTCTTGGAAGATACTCAAACCTAAAAAAAAGAAATTAATAAATAAAATCAAACTGTTACCTTGTGTCGCTGGATAAAAGAGGCGGTAAGTGATGCGCCTGTGATATTAATATTTCAAATTCTATTCCCCCTGATTCCTCCCCCTCCCCTTGGCCCCCTGTGTCCTTCAACATATCGGTGGTGTGATCAGATTTGATCGGAGACCTTTCTCTCTCCTTCTCTTTCTTCTTTGTCTTCTTCGACTTCTTCCCTTTGCTGCAGTCTCCATCTTTATAAACCGTCAGTAATGGCTGTAGCTCCTTTTGGTCCAATTGAGTAGAAGGAACCAGCTTCTTCCTAGACAAACCCAAAGTTACCTGTGGAAGAGAAAAATAATTTATAATGAAAGTGACAAACAAACGGATCCATTTTCTAAACTAGACCAGACTCCAAAGGATTGTTTGGTTGATTGTGACACAATTCAATTAATAACAATAATAATTAATCAATAACAACAATAATAAATTAATTAAAGAAACAAACAAGACCGTGATTAAGGTTTACAGCAATAACTCTTAAAAATAAATAAATTATAACAAAATAATTTTATAATTCATTACATAAAATGGCTTACAGGTAGTTGTGATGGTGTCCCAATGATCAATGATAATTGAATATAACCAGACACAGATCCAGTGAATGGACACAACACTGGACAATAGGAGTCAACAACAGTCAATGGAAACTATAAGAGAAGGAAAGAGTAACACCATGTACTGATGCATATACATGTTCTTATAACAAGCTTGAGCTGATTCCAATCAAAATTGAATTTTTTACAAATTTTTTAAGCTTCTCAAAAATCAGGCCAAAGTCCCTGTACTATAGTACAGGGACTTTGGTAAAATTTTGCCAAAAATAAAATTTTGAGAAATCTCATTTTTTATAATTTTATCTGATACATATACATGTTCTTATGTTGTGTAGAAAGTTTGAGACAATTCCGATCAAAATTGGATTTTTTATGAATTTTTAAAGTTGCTCCAAAATCGGGCCAAAGTCCCTGTACTATAGTACAGGGACTTTGGCAAAATTTCACCAAAAACGAAATTTTGAGATTTCTCCATTTTTATAATTTTTTCTGATACATATACATGTTCTTATGTTGTGTAGAAAGTTTGAGCTGATTCTGATCAAGCTTGGATTTTTTATGAATTTTTAAAGTTACTCAAAAATCAGGCTTAAGTCCTTGTACTATAGTACACAATCTTTGGTCAAAAAATGGCTCCAAGATAAAGAATATTAAAACAGAAGAAATTCCCTAAAATCCCCACACATTAGACAGTATACGACTAGATGTACGGGGCAGTCAGTGGTGAAGTCCCTTACCACACAGTCCAGTTCATTGTTCTGATTGTTTAAACTCTCCAAAGCATCACCGGCTATGTCCAGACTAACCTTTACCAACCCTAGCAACTAAACAATAATAAACATAAACAATAACATCATTATTATTATTATTACTTCGTCTTCCAATTCACCAGCTGGTAAGTCCATTCTCTGATGATGCCACACCTCTATTATAAAGTATTGTCCTTTAATGTGAGAATGGTCTCTCAGAACTAATGGGATCACCTACAGGAGTACCATTAATGAATTACTTATTATTATTATTAATTATTATTATTATTATTATTACTTGTTTTATATTAAATTGTGGTTTCCTAGTCCTCCAGCTCACTCCAGTGGTAAGAGGTACTTTCATGGAGTATAACCTACACACTAAATAAACGTTAGGTAGAGTATCAGGTTGGGACGAGAGGAAAAGGGACGTCCCCTCGTCTATCTCCAGTAACAAGTGGTACAACAGAGGGACGCCCTCTCCTCCACTTTTAGTGAGGTCATGTGACCTCTCCTCACGTGGCTGTGAAGTATCGTGATGATCGTCTTTTTTCGTCATTTTATGATACAAATTTTTAATTCCTTGATTTTGTGGGTTTGGTAACAGATCATGTGATATTGTTTCGTGGTCATGTGACTCGTATGGGTGTGGCTCCAGGAGTATAAGCTCCTCCTCTTTCTCTTGCTCTATTTCATCACGAGTTAGTTTGAGTAGTCCGACCTTTTGGTGTTCTTCAAAACTCATTATACTCCCGGGACTTATGGGTGGAGTCAAATCAATATCGTCAACACTAAAAATTAAGCAATTATTATTATTATTATTATTATTATTATTATTAATGCTCACGTTTTCTCATCCACATTCTGAATGTCTTCACCACTTTCATTTTCATTATTTTGATTATTTTCTTTATCAAGTTCCCTAATCATACTTTCTTGCAAAGCTTTAGCTCGTTCCAGTAACCTCTCAACCATTTGCTTACTCCGTTCCCCAAACACTGGTAATGCCTTATCAGTAGTGGGTGGGGCAATGGGAGGAGCCTGGGAAATCGTGCCCACTTTCTCCCACTTCTTTGAAGGACTGGGTTTCTCCAGTAATACTGTGTCTTTATTATCGTCATTAATTCGATGGGTGCGGGCAAATTTTGAAACGGGTTTCAAGTGTCTGATATTTTCTTTCTGTGTTGACATGGGCATGGTTTTCTTTGGTGATTTCGATGAGGGTTTCTCTCTTTCTTTTAGTTTGAAGGTGACCTTAAGACGACCCAAATGAACACTAGTTTCAGTCAATACAGAACACATCCTGAAGAGAAGAAACAGCAAATTATGAAAGAAATTACATTGCAAATATCTGACAGGTTACACATACACATGTACATGTATTTAATGAACATTGTACTTTAAATATTTAATACATAAAAGTCCATTACCTGATGGCTGGTCTGTCTACAGCGAGAGAGGAGAGGTGTGGTACAATACATTCTCCCATGACAAAGAAATCTTTCGCTGAGCGACCCAAACCAATTCTAAGAGAAAGATGACTCATATCTGAATCAAAAATAAAATAAATAAATAAATAAATAATTAAATGTTTACCTTCTAAATAGTTTTTGAAATGCTTCCAAGAGCAACATACAGGATATTCAATAGTGGGTGGGGCCCTGTCTTGAGTTTTCTTATCAAAAACTATCGGAATTCTACAGAAAACAAGTCATAACTTTTTGATTTTTAAAAAGAATCAGACAAGCCGTATCAATATAGGTACCAGTAATATATATAAACGCAGAGGATTAAGTCTTTACCTAACAATCCTCCCAGGTCCTTTGTCTCCCCACCATTTAACATGAACACTGACCAGAGGAGAGGGAGGGGGAGTGGTGCAGTCCCATAAAAGATAAGGAATTGATACAACGAGGACTCCTCGAGCAGTCCCAGGGACACCAGGAGGAAGAGTCACCCTCTTTCCACCACTGGCACCTAAAAACAGCCGTCATCATTGATAGGAGGGCTTGTTTCTTACCTTCTTCTCCAAGTCCATTGGCAGCCGCCATGTTTGTTGTTGGTTTGGCGGGAAAACTTAACCGCCAAATATACGTCATATGAGGTAATCCCACCCACTAAATTAAGTTAATGTGTTAACTTTTCATCTAAAAATAATCATTATTTGTACAGAACTAATCAATAATATAATTTATGATCATAAAAGAAATCAGCATTAGCAATGAGCACATTAAGGGAAGCTCCCTATGGTGTTATCATCACATAATAATAGATTACACTAATAATAATAATAATAATAATAATAGTAAGAACCATCAGCAATAATTAAAATTTCTGAGTTATTTTAAAGATAATAATTGATTTAAGGCCAATAATGAGCTAGGACTAATGAGCGAAACCGTTGAGGGTGTGTCCATTGACCTGACCATTGGTCTGTACGACGGGCTGCACTGGACGCTGCTTCTGGTTGATGGCACTGGACTCAACTGGAGCAGGGGTAGAGGAGAACTGGGTCATCAGGGAAGGAATCTTGTGCTCTAAAAGCATGTGATTTAGAGGAGGGAGTCCCACACAGGCTCTGGAGGAAACAAAAAAGAACATCATTATTATCATTATCATTGATTATCACTGAGGGAGTTTAAGAGGCTTTGGTCTCCCATATAATTGGTCTAGGTCTCAAACTCTTTCATTTCTAGCTTTTAATATTTATTTCCCAAATTTATTTCTACATCTAACAATGACTTCTTGCTCACCTGAATATGTTCTCAATGCAAGCTCTTTGGCGGAATAATGCATTGACGACAGGTGTGCCAGGAGGTACCATTGGAGCCTTTAATAGATACGAGAGAATAGAAAGGACCGAATGGAACTGCTCGTAATCCCCATCAATAGTCTTAACCTATGAAAAGAATATTGTAATGATGATGATCTAACCTTCATAAAGAAGTATAGCCATTGAATAATAATAAAAATAATTGATATTGTCATTGTCTTACTTGAATCCTTTCACAAAGCTCAGCAATGATAACGAGATCAATGATGAGTGGTGCTGCTAGGAGGGAGTCCTCACAAGTGTTGTGAAGGACGATTGTGTTATGTCCTCCCATGAATATCTCAGAGGTATACTCGTCCATTGCTCTCTTGGAGTCAGCAACATAAGGAACATACTTGATGACAACCTAATGCAGTGAGAGGTCAACTTTTTGGGACACATTTTAATGCTTTCTCATCTACTCTTCCTCCCTCTCTCTTCATCCATTTTTCCTTTCTCTCTCTCCTCCCCCCTCTCTCTCCCTTACAGTGTGATCTGGTTTCTCATTTGGTGAGTAAAGTACATCGTTTGATTCCACCATGTCATCCACGACGTTGCTCTTTGATATCTCTTTGCTTCTGAACTGCTTTGGGGCTGAAAGGTTCTTCCCGTCATTGTTACCAAGGTGATTGTAACTGACAATAGACGTTGGCTAAATAAAGAATTAATATTTATGATTATTTCTAAAGAGAAATCATTTCTTGCATACTTTCAGACCAGCAGACACGAGGAAGTCAACCAGAACTGATTTTATCTTTGTCTGTCCGCTCTTGAAGTCATCTCCACCAAGAAAGACCCCATGTCTCTCTGCCAGCTCAACACAGCCTGGAACAAAAGTATTCTGAGGAGAACCATTGATATATGTACACTGGAAGAGGGAGAGAGAAAGGAAAGGGAGTAACAAGAATATAAATTACAAGTTTATAATCATATTCCACTACATAATAACAGGTATATTAATGATAGTAATCATTATTATCATCTACTAGGAGACTCACTCCTTCTAAAATGCTAGCAACAGCAAAGAGTGTTGATGATGAGACCTCAGCCTCATTCCTCTTTATGCTCTCCAGAAGGTTGTCCGCAGTATCATTAAGACCAGCTGCAACATCACAGAACCTTTCGGTGTTAGCCGTCCACAAGATGATGACCTATCAATAATAAAATAATATTTAGTGTCATTATTATTATTATTATCATTACTTTGTCAAGGTTCTTCTTTTGTTTGAAATCCTTAATGTCTTCCCTTATCTTGGTCACCATCTCCCATTTCGTACCAGACAAGACATTGTCAGCACGATCGCTCTGAGGATAAAGAAACATTTGATTATTGAAAGAATGAACATGTATATATAATATAAAGCAAAAGGACTGTCTCTATACCTGATTGGCTGCAATGAAGTCAGGGCAGTAGATGGATGGGCGTGGCTTTAACTTCTCGAGATAAGGTCTCAGCTGATCTTGAATGCTGATATCCAGGACCTTTAAAAGCAACAAACAGAATACAATATATGATTGGCAGTGTGTACTAATATTATGACATTACTGGCCAGGAAGCAACCCTATAGTATAGTGAATCATGTGACAAGCATGCAGTGTTAAACTGTAACTAGATATGTGGCATCATAGAGGTAACATTACCAGTCTATCAAACCAGTTATAATTTTAAGGTCATCTACAGCTAGGCACTTTGAATATCTTATAAAAACACACCACTGGGATTAGAATAACAGGTAGACACACACTGGCTAACTATATACATGAGGAGTGTATTGTCTTGTATTGGCAGATTACGTCATTATTGTATGTTAACTTTGCAGTGGTGGCTGAGGTCAAATATTTTGTGGGCTACTAAAATGATTCATGAGGTGCTGGAGTGATGAGACCAGCAGTTCAATGGCTTACTTTAGCTCTGGAACAAGCATCAGCTATATTGACTGAAGAAATATCCCAACCTAAAAGGAGAGAGAGAGGAGAGAGAGAGAAAGGAAGACTTTATTATGATTTAATACATAGTGGGGATGGTTAGAATGAGTGTGCAAATCATGTGAGGGTCAAACCACATCAAAACAACACTGGGAATAGCTTATAAACAAAACATACATAATGACTAATGATCATATGATCTTAATTAGGGAATTACATCATTATAGTGTTGAATGGAATGTCGTAGGTGAGCTGTTGCTTACCATCAAACTCCATGTCATTGGGTGAGAGCATTGGAAGGAGGTCCTTCAAAGGAACGTAGACATCTTTACCATCTGGACCTATCCCCAGACTAGTGGTTGAGGACTGAGTTATGGAACCGAAATAATTAGCAGTCTGTGGATTAATGAGAGAAGTCATGTGTGAACAATCAAATAGTAACAGTTTATTTAAAAGTATAAAGGAAGAATGTTCAGATAATTAACAGTCTGAAAGAAGAATGCTCTCTTCATGATGCAGTAACAACACAATGCAACAGAGCAGTATATGGTATACTTACCTTCACACCATCTTTAGTCCTCCATGAGATGCCAAGCTTGTTGGCAAGGACAGAAGCAGTGATTGTGGACCCATTATTCCCTCCCCAGCCAACAAGCATGACCCCAACCCTAGGGACTCGAGCACTGGTACGAAAGGTAAGACTAGTATTGACTGGTTTTACACGGAATCTCTCTCCATCGGTCTCCACGTGGGAAGACTGGTACTCATAAGTTGAGAGTATGGTCTGCTTTGTCTCATTGTATTGGACCTTCTCGCTCTCGACGTAAAATTTCGAAGACATTTTTGTGTGTTAGTTGAAAGTATTTGGTAGATGGGATTAGTAAGGTTCTCTATCAGTCTCTCTCAGCTGCAGCAAAGTCAGTGATGATGATTGCAGCCTCCAGCAGCAGAGTAGCATTAAATTGCAATATGATCGCGCACCACTCGTGGCACCACTTCATCTGACCAATCAGATTGCACACAAAAGGTCAGTCACGTGACTTCCGCCGCTCAAGCAAATTAAATTAATTCATCATCACATGTCACAGCATCAGTGAAGCTACTACTGCAGTAAGCTTTCAATTGTAATTTGTAAATAAAATAGTAAATAATTATCACAGACAATATAAAATGTCAATCTCATACAGTATCATTGTTGTCCACTGCTTCCCAGGCTCCACTCTTAGCTGATCTATAAATTGCATTTGCCACTAAAACATCTTTAAAAGCTTCCAAGACGCTCCCAGAGTCAGATGGACTGATCCTCTTCCCTTTCTTTATCGCTGAGACAAAGGACGCCATCTGAGGCTTGAAAGCACCAAAGTATCCTCCAGGATTAACCGAGACTGTCCTACCAGCTGTATGTACTGACAGCCCGCCATCAAAACTACCATGGATTGTAATCTCTCCCTATTTTAAAAGTCATGAGATAATTAAAATAATTAACTACTCTAAAAGCTGTTAAAGGAATGTGTCAAAATTTGATGAAGCATTACAGGAAACATGAAAAGGCGTGATGGAATAGTGAGAACACTATAAGATTGACCTCTCCTAACCACCCACTTATTACAAAAGACAGCAAATGAATTTAGTTCATAAATTCATAATTATGAATATCTGTGTAGAGTCACCTGCTTTAACAAGCTGCAGTAGCAAATTAATGTCACTGATAGCTAGTAATTGCAATCTCAATGCATACAATAGCTCAGTTTAAAAGTCATTTCTCACTTTGGTTCCAAATATTTGAAAGAACGGGATCTTTTCCATTGGAATGATGTTAGTGTGGCAGTGAAGGAGACCAGTTCTTCCGTTTTTAAACTGAATGAGAGCATCAGCCAAGGACTCTCCTTTGACTGACTCCCATGGATACGCCATCGTACTGACAACCTTACTAATGTCACCTAAACTAATAATTAGTTATTAATAATAAGAAACATCTTTTCATTTATGCATTATCCAAGGCTATAGCCCATGGTTTTTTCCGAAAAATGGCTCCGAAATCACCCCACATTTTTATTACATTTTCTGATACATATTGATGTACTTATGCTGTGTAGAAAGTTTGAGTCGATTCCGACTTCAATTTTTCAAGTTACGGCCATTCTAAAAAACGAGCCAAAATCTGAAAAATACCCAAGGCTATAGCCCATGGTTTTTTCCAAAAAATGGCTCCAAAATCACCCCCAATTTTTACTACATTTTTTGATACATATTGATGTCTTTAAGCTGTGTAGAAAGTTTGAGCTGATTCCAACAAAATTTTCTAAAGTTACGGCCATTTAAAAATTCAGACTTACAACAGTCTTAAAGGTCTCATCCAGTGAATAGCTCCATCCATGACCACACCTCCACCAACTTGAGAAGGATCAAATCTCCATTCAGCAACGTCTCCATTATTGAAATCAGAGCTACAAGAAACATCAAATGAGAAGAGAAGAGAAGTGTCACTTACTGTCCAACAGCCTCCCAATAATTAGCCTGAGCATAATAAGGATCTCCTATCACTTCCTCTTTAATCAAATTCACTGCATGAGCAACCTGAAAATATCCAAATCAAATCAATAAAGAGAAGATTATGTTTTATTCTTTACTTCAGGCCAGTGAGGTGAGTTCTCCGCTACCATAAAAACTCTATCAGTGCTTTGTACTAGTGCTAAGAGCTCCCTGCATCCTTCAATACTGGTAGCTAATGGCTTCTCTAATAAGACATGCTTCCCTTTTGATAAAACCTCTCTAGCTATTTCAACGTGAAGATGATGTGGTACCATTATAACAGCTGCATCATAACTATCATCTCCTGCTTCCTCTACACTACCATACACCTAATGGAGGGAGAGAAAGAACAAGTGGTAAAATGGCTGAATACTGTACAGGAGCCTTGGCCCAATTTTGGAGCAACTTTAAAAATTCATAAAAAATCCAATTTTGATCGGAATCAACTCAAACTTGCTACACAGCATAAGAACATGTATATGCATCAGAAAAATTTATAAAAATGGAGAATTCTCTTTTTTATTTTTGGCAAAATTTGGCCTGAGAGCATGTACTATAGTACAGGGATTTTGGCCCAATTTTGAAACAACTTTAAAAATTTGTAAAAAAATTCAATCTTGATTGAAATCAGCTCAAATTCAAGTTAATTCAGTCAATACCTTACATTCTTGAGGGGCAGGCAAGAGCTGTCTTGTTTGTTGAGCTGCAGCTACATTAGGATCCACTGCTGTTGATATGACCAGTGACGGGTCCCTCAGTGCCAGCAGAGAGTTCAGATGAACGCGTGAAATCCGTCCACAGCCAACAAGAGCAACTCTGACGGCCATGTTTATGGGCGTTACCACATGCAGTTATTAAAGTTATTAAAATGAGCCCCACCCAAAAATGCAAAAAGCCAAGAATAAAAAATGTTTAAAATACATCAACATTCTCCCATTTTTCTTCTTCAACTGATCTGTAAATTGCTAAAGAAACAAGTACATCTTTCACTGCTTCAGAAACACTTCCAGTATGAGCCTCCGTTATCTTCTCTTCTTTCTTTAACGCTGATATAAATGATGCCATTTGAGGCTTGAAAGAGCCCCAATATCCTCCACAATTATCAGTAGTGACTTTATCTTTTGTATGTACTGTAATGCCACCTTCAAACTTGCCATGAATTGTAATCTCTCCCTATAAAGAGAATATTGTAAAATTATAGTCACATACAATTTCATTCTTTATACTTTTGGTCCAAATATCTGAAAGAAAGGTATTTCTTCTTTTGGCACATCATTGTAATGAAAATGAAGAACTCCTTTCTTTCCATTTTTACACTGAACAAGAGCATGAGCAAGACTCTCTCCTTTCATCCTATCCCACGCATTGACAGTCATACCAACCAACTTATCAATTTCTCCTAAACTACATTAATTATTATAAGAACTATAACAGTCAAGTATATCTTCATTTTTACTAACATCATTCGTATTGGCCTTATCCAATGCACTGCCCCAGCCATTAGGACACCTCCTCCTACTTTTTTAGGATCGTAGACCCAGCTTGGTACAGCACCAACATCATAATCCTCCCTATAAAGTTAGGATTTTTAAGTTTCATAAAACAACAATACATACTTTGCTATAGCCTCCCAATAATTAGCTTGTGCATAATAAGGCTCTCCTATCACTCCCTCTTTTATTAGCTGTATTGCACGAACAACCTAAAGGCAGTAAAAATAAAATTTAATTACTTATATATAGCATTTTCATGACATACTTCAGGCCAATGAGGAGAATTTTCTGCTGCCATAAATACTCTATCAGTGCTTTGTGCTAGTGCTAATAGCTCCCTGCATCCTTCAATACTGATAGCTAATGGCTTCTCTAATAAGACATGCTTCCCTTTTGATAAAACCTCTCTAGCTATTTCAACGTGAAGATGATGTGGTACCATTATAACAGCTGCATCGTAACTATCATCTCCTGCTTCCTCCACACTACCATACACCTAAAGAGAAAGGAAGTGTCTAGAGCTCCGGTAACCGGACACAGTATGCAGTGCTAGAGCTCCGGTAATAGGGGCGTCGCCCCTTATATATATACTGGGGCGTAGCCCCAGTGCAGTATTAATAATACACTGATTTATATTATAGAAACCGAGTATAAATACAACAACCAGCATTGATGATGCAGCAGGGTCGTGGTGGTGCAGTGGAGAGGCTGGTGTGGATTGCACGGATGGGTCAGGGGTTCGAATCCGGTCAAGACTACCGAGTAAAACTATGCTGCAGTTTTTGATTTTTTTCTTTTTTTTAATATCTTTTTTTGCAATTTTTTTACTATGTCTTTTTAAACATCAACATTCTCCCATGCTCCTTTCTCAGCTGATCTGTAAATTGCTAGAGCAACAAGAACATCTTTCATTGCTTCAGAAACACTGCCTGGATGAGAATCTGCTAATTTCTCTCCTTTCTTTACTGCTGCAAAGAAAGAGGCCATCTGAGGCTTGAATGCACTCATATATCCTCCACAATTATCAGTAGTGACTTTATCCTTAGTATGCACTGTAATGCCACCATCAAACACACCATGAATTGTAATCTCTCCCTATATAAATTGATACAGTTATAATTTAGTAACATTGCTAACTTTTGGTCCAAATATTTGAAAGAAAGGGATCTTTTCCATTGGGATGTCGCTATAATGAAAATGGAGGACACCTTGCTTTCCATTCTTAAACTTTACAAGAGCATGTGCAAGAGTCTCAGCTCTCATTGTCTTCCAAGCATCCATTGTCATTGCAGCCACTTTATCCATATCACCCAACCTTTAAATACTGACATAGATACACAAGATATACCAGTTCATAATACATTAATCTCAGTGGACGTATCCAGTGAACTCCACCAGCCATCACTGCACCTCCTCCATTCTTCTCTGGATCATAAATCCAATCAGGTACTTCACAGAAATCAAAGTCATCTCTACAATTGATGACAATAATAGAAGTATTGATACACTGGACCTTACATTCCAATTGATTCAAAGCAATTTCCTTGAGCATAATAAGGCTCTCCAATCACTCCTTCCTTGATCAGTTTTATAGCTTGGACTACCTTTTATATAATGGCAAAGAAGAAATTTAATGTACGTGATATTGTATGCAAAACTTTGCATACTTCAGGCCAGTGGACAGCACTCTCCGCTACCATAAATACCCTATTAGTGCTTTGTGCTAGTGCTAATAGCTCCCTGCATCCTTCAATACTGATAGCTAATGGCTTCTCTAATAAGACATGCTTCCCTTTTGATAAAACCTCTCTAGCTATTTCAACATGAAGATGATGGGGTACCATTATAACAGCTGCATCATAACTATCATCTCCTGCTTCCTCTACACTACCATACACCTAAATAGAAAGGGGAGGACCTCAACAACATGCTCCTTTTATAACTTACTTGACAGTTTTGAGGTGCTGGTAACAATTGCTTGGTAGATTCAGCTGCTTCTTTATTAATATCCACCAGTGCTGTTACTTCAATGGAAGGATCATTGAGCTTCTTCAATGCTTTGAGGTGAGTTTTACATATATATCCACACCCTATCAGTCCAAGCCTGATGACAGCCATTGATTCTGCTAGTTATTATTACAATTATAGGCCTAGTTAATTTAAACTAGATGGGTGTGGTTTGTTCTAGCCACGCCTACTGACCTTGCCCAACAAAATAATTAGCTAGCAGGGAATGGCTGAAGGAATTCTGTGTCATTTTACTGAAACTGAGGGAGAGATTAGCTGCAATGGGACCCTCTATCATCTTGGCGGGGAGAGTGAGGGCTCAATAAAGCCGACTGATGCTCTATTTTGGGTATACCTAATCGTCTACATCATTCTGGTCCTGTTTGCTGGTAAGAGATAACACTGTAATACTTAGATAGTGTGATTGGTTTGCCTTAAAGCAGTATTATTTAGACATTGTTTTATTATGTACTTTTCGTTTCCATATATATTCAAACTGGTCCTCATTCTTAGGGTTAATGTCAGGATTAACAATGGGCCTACTGTCCCTGGACATCATGAGTCTGGAGGTATTGAAAAGAGGCGGGAAACCCCGGGAAAAGAAATATGCCAGTCGCATTATCCGTATAGTAAAGAAGCACCACCTCCTCCTGGTGACACTCCTGTTAGCTAACGCCATTGCAGTGGAGTCCATGCCAATCTTCCTGGACAAGATCACGAATGAAATAGTGGCCATTTTAATATCAGTGACTGCTGTACTAGTCTTTGGAGAGTAAGGAAGAGGGAGAGGAGGGTTTCCATTTTGCTAAATATGGCTTGGATATAATTGAGAGAGAGAGAGGGAGAGGAGGAGAGAGAAAGAGTCCAGCTGCTTATATTCAAGTGCTCATTATTTAGAATTGTACCTCAAGCTCTTTGTACACGTTTTGGACTAGCCATTGGATACTATTGTGCTCCGTAAGAAATAAATAAAATAAAATAAAATAAAATAAAATAATTTTAATTTTTTTCTTTCTCTATAGTTTGGTCTACTTTCTGATGGCCGCATTCTTCATTCTTGCATTTCCAATTTCAAAAGTACTTGATCTGATACTAGGAAAAGACCATAGCACATTCTTCAGGAGAGCCGGTTTGTATGAAAATAAATAACACAGTTTTCATGAATACATTTTAGAATTGAAAGAACTGGTTCAGATGCACGGCTCGTCTGAAGAAACTGACAGCAAAGAGAACGAAGAACCTTTATCACACGATGAAATACTCATCGTTAAGGTTAGCCACACCCACTAATTGACCACGCCCCAAATCTCCTTTTAGGGTGCTCTTGATATGAGAGATAAAACTGTCAAAGACGCCATGACGCCACTTGAATCAGTATTCATGTTACATGTTGATGACAAGATTGGACAAGCTAACATGGAAAAGGTTAACTAGATCAAATGTTTATAATATTTATAGTCAGCTCTCTTCAGATAATAGCAACTGGTCATTCCAGGATCCCGATTTATAAAGATGGTCGTACTGACATTGTCGGTTTGATATTAGTAAAGAAACTCATTATACTTGATCCTGATGATAACGTACCAATTAAAGAAGTAATGAATAAATAATTAATTAATAAATATTAATAATAATTAATAAGGTAATTGGTGCTATGACTCCTCCTCCTTCTTGCTCAACGACCACACCCCTTTATGATATACTCAACCAGTTTCAGACAGGAAGGAGTTAGTGGAATATGTTTTGGTTTGTTGCATTTTATTTTCTGTTTATTTGTTGAATAGGTCATCTTTATTTAGTGTACAATGAAGAAGAACCAGATGTAAGTATATTCATTTCATGTATGCCACTTTCAATTTCAAATTGATAAACATACATTGTACATGCATTTATACATGTATCATAATTTATCCTATATACCTGTCAGTTCCTGTCTCAATTATAAGCTTTGAGGCTACATACATTAAGTAAATATAATCCTATATAAAGTATAGGAGAATCCTAATAGAAGACTTGTGTGTACAAATTAAAGATAGAGAATGTAGCAACCTGGGGGCTTCTGTTTTGAAAATATCCTCCATTAGATTACAAATATACTGCACCTTTTCATTTATAGTCTGAGCTGGTTGGTATCATAACACTAGAAGACGTCATTGAAGAACTGATCGGTGAAGAGATTGTCGATGAAACTGATTTGTACATTGACGTCCACCGAAGGATCTCAGTAGCAAGAGCTCGTGTCAACCTGTTCAGACGTCAGAATGTGAGTGACCCTACGGGGGACAGGACCAGGATCATGAGAATAAGGAGAGCTATTGGACGTGGGGACACTTCATCCTCACTGTATGGAGTCAGGGAGGAGGTAAGAGGATTTTTATATTTAAAAAAGTTTTTATTATAAAGATTACCAGGGGGCCATGAGATTACGGATAGGCTATTATAAAAGGAATTTTTAGTTCACAATTATTGATTTAAATCCATGTTAATTTAGTGTAGTTTTTTTCAAATTATCCCAGCTGCTCTTTATTCTATTTTAAATTACACTGCAGGCTCCATCTCCTCAGGCTCCACCTCCTCGTCACATGGAATCAGTAATTCCAGGCAGTCTACCTGATGAAGATACCAACGAAGACCCCAGTGCTATTAATAATAACGAGGATGACAAAGCGCCTTTACTTATTAACGATTAATTTCATTACAGCTAAATTATTTTCCAGATTATTATTGTTATTATATTTTTTATCTGATTTATGGATTTTTGTCAGAATTATTTGCTAGTTATTAATAGCTAGTTAATTATTTTCATAACTACTAATTAACTATCAACTATAGTTTGGCGGGAAATTTTAAGCACATAGAAAAGGACAAAATGGCTACCTCTTCACTTACAGATCACTGTTGGTTTTTAGATGATTATGAGCCACCAAATTTTAACCAGGTGTTTTTGCAATGCATATATATCCTTTGCAATTAGTTGTCCTTTAACAGGATTAAAAGATCTATTGCTTCATTGAGTAATTCACAATTTCCTTTAACATGGAGAGGTCTTGGCTCCTATAGCCAGACAGGTCAGTTCATAATTAAATATTTTAATTAGATGATTAAATATTTTTATTAGATAATTAAGTATTATTGTCCTATCAAACGGGCTTAAATAATTAATTACAAAATTTGTTTCAACTACTTTCTCTTTTGAAGTTTTTGCTCTCTTGTTACAGCTCCACCGCCACGTGATTCACACAGAACTACATCTCTTTTTCTTTTTTGTCTCAGATGTTCACGCTCTACTCTACTAACTGTTGGGTAGTCATACGTCGCACCAGATCTTAGTTTATGTTGTAAATCATCTTGTTGTTGACTAGCTTGTTGTACTATAAATTGAGTTGATGATACTGGTGATGTTTGACATGGATTAGGTGATACAGCAACTGGCGATTGTTCTTTAGTTGGTCTGTTAATATTAGTTGGTTTCCTTATTGTGGGCCCTGGTCTAAATGTAGCATCTATTTTGGTTGGCCTTAATCTTGGTGTCTCTGGCAGTTTATACTTGCTAGCTCTAGATCCAGAATTAGAGCAACCTTGTGGGCGGTCACCTTGAGGTAGAGGAATGCCACCATAGCCACCAACTCCTGGAGTTGCATAGTCATGAATTGGTGATCTGACAGGACCTTTATTAGATTTATGTGGCTTGTTTGGTAAAATGCTAGCATCTGTTGGTGATGGGCCTGTGGTATGACTTTTTAAATGATCTTTTACTGAAGCTACTGCTCTCATTGGTGTTTTGATACTTGAGGCTTGAGATGCCATTATGTCCTTTGTTTGTCTTGGACTGACCTTTTTGGGATATGTTGGTGGTGTGTAACTGCTACCTCTATCAGATACTTTACTCCTGCTGTTTGAATCTAAATTTAACCTGTTCCCCACAGTACTCCTTTGCTTGCTGATAGTAATAGCTGCTGGAGGATTGGTATTCTCTTTAGCATTTCTGTTTCCTGATACTGGCCTGCTTTTAAGTTTCAAACGATGACTGCTTGAAGTTGGTGTTATTTCACGTTTTGGATAAACCATTTCTTTGAATACTGCTGGTTTTTGAGGTGTTGTTCTTTGTGGTGTAACTTTTCTTCCATTCCCTTGCTTGTTGACGGGTACAGGACTCCATGAACGAATACCATTCCCTTTGTTGGTTTTATGTGATGATGATGATGGTCTACCAGCTCCAGTAGGAGGCAAACGATGACTGCTTGAAGTTGCTGCTGCTGTTCCAGTTTTTAGACTACCACCTGTTAATTTTTCTTTTGTCACTGCAGAAGGAGAATGAGGTTTACCTGATCTTTGTTTTGCAGAAGGACGGGACTCATTATACTTTGAAGTACTACCAGCTAGATTATTTATATTTTTAGTTTCTTTGTGAGGCCGAATCATACCAGCAGACTCACTAGTAGTGGGAGGTTTCGCTCCTTTTGAAGCCTCAGGTTTATATTCATATCCATGCCTTCTACTAGTGGTCTGAGCAGAGACTCCACTTGTAGTGTATCCTTCTCTTTTCATTCTATCTTGGGCATCTCCTGAACGGACAGAAGGATAGAAAGAATTGCTGCTACTAACAGAATAAGTTGACTGTTTTTGATGGCTAGCTCTTGCAGTTTGAACAGGAGATGATGACATGCTACCTGCCCTTTTCTCTATCATTTGAGTACTGCTACGTCCTTGTGATGCTGGTAGATATGCAACTAATGGTGGTGGTTGTTGTGATGAATATTGGGTATCTGGTACAGCTCGAGATGGAACTGAGTTTTGCTGCAGTTTGTGTTTATTTTGCTCTGTTGCAGCTAACTGTTGAAATGATGGAGCTACTTCTCTCCTGGATGATAATGAGGGAGGATTCTCCACTCTTTCATCAACCTTTGGTCTTTTATCTGGGCTGAGTGGCTCATTAAAAGATGGTGAGCGGTTTCTTCTTTGGCCTTTTGGTTTATGAGCTGGCTCTGTCGTAGAGTGAGAACTATGAGACTGGTGTTCATCAACATGATGATGAAGAATTGAAGGTTTTGTAGAAGGAGGAGGAGGAGGAGCAGAAACAGCAGGAGGAGGAGGAGGAGCAGAAACAGCAGGAGGAGGAGGAGGAGGGTGAGGATAACGAGGTGAACGAGTGCTTAAAGTTTGAGTTTTATTGACAGGAAGAGAAGGAGGGACAGGAGGAGCAGGAGCAGGTGGAAGAGAATAATGAGGTGCACGAGTGTTCAAAGTTTGAGTTTTAGTGACAGGAGGAGGAGCAAGAGGAACAGCAGGTGGAACAGCAGGAGGAGGAGGAGCAGGAGGAAGAACAGAATTAGAAGGTGAATGGATACTTAGAGTTTGAGTTTTAGTGACAGGAGGAGGAGATGGAGGAGCACGTTTTGATGATTCCAATTTTTTTCCAATTAAACCTTTGACAGCAACATGAAGATGATTCCCATAGAGAAGGACAGGACGATAATGAGTGATACTCAGTTTAGGATTTTTTTCAGCTTCTTCCTCGTCCCACGTTGCTCTGTTAGTGTCGTGAAGTCCTTCATTATAGTGAAGGGGAAGGTATATTACTGTTGGTGGGAGGAGTGTCAACATTGTATGGGTTTGGCGAACTGCTTTCTGAACATACTCTCCTAACTTGTTTCTGCTTTCATCAGTTAAACGATATCTTCCTGCAACTTGTAACAAAACCTATAATAAAGATTAAAATATCATTAAATAATAATAGAATATTAAAGCTCTTGGTCTTTGGCTGAATTCTCCGATAGTGATCTGATTTTTGAGCCACTTAAAAAATTTGTAAAAAATTCAAATTTGGTTAGAATCAGCTCAAACTTGCTACAGAACATAAAAACATGTATATGTATCAGAAAAAATTGTAAAAATAAAGAATTTTCTCCTTTTCATTTTTGGCAAAATTTGGCCCGAGACCCTGTGCTATAGTACAGGGACTTTGACCCAATTTTTGAGCAACTTTAAAAATTCATAAAAAATTCAAATTTCATCGGAATCTGCTCAAATTTGCTACACAACATAAGAACATATATATGTATTAGATAAAATTATAAAAATGGAGAATTCTCAAATTTTAATTTTTGGTGAAATTTGGCCCGAGACCCTGTGCTATAGTACAGGTACTTTGGGCCAATTTTTTTGAGCAATTTTAAAAATTTGCAAAAAATTCAAATTTTATTAGAATCAGCTCCAACTTGCTACACAACGTAAGAACATGTATATGCATCAGAAAATGTAATAAAAATGCAGATTTCTCTCCTAGTCATTTTTGGAGAAAATCGGCCAAAAACCATGTACATGTAATGATAATTAGTGCAATGTATTACTGTTCAAAAGACTTACATATTCAATTCTATCAGTTGCTAGTTCTGATTTTTTAATATGACATGAGCTGAGCAGTAGACCGTATGACTTATATTGCTCTTTCTGTTTTGAGTCACTGGACTCAGTGACAGCTGCTGGTCCTTCCTCCTCTTTTGGTGACATGCTTAAGAAACTAAGCAACTTTTCCCTGATGCTCTTTAGCACAATATCGAGACATTTTCTGTATGTAGCCTGTGAAATGATTATAAGAATTAATATCATAACAGTGCAATGATGATGTTTACCTCTAGTTTGCCTCCATTTTTTTTCAATACTTCATTTCTTTTTATTATTATTTTATGCCATTCATTATTTGCATTCAATTGTTGAGGTACAGCACTTGGAGGAGACCTAATAACATGAAATTATGTTCAATTTGTTGAGGAGCCATTTTAATGTGGTTTGTTGTTAAAATTGTTTTTAATTACAAATTTGTATTTAAAGAAAAGATCACTTCTCAAACTTACTTGGAATTTATTATTTCATTCAGAATCTTCTTCTGTAGCTTCAACCTTTCCAGTTTCCTACAGTGTATCATTATAATAATATAACTGATGCAACTTATAAGTACCTTTGTAGCTCTCTCTGCACTTGCTGTTCTTGCTTTCTTTCTTTCCTACACAATCAAAGTCAGTTTTAAGTTTGAAAAGATCACCAACTCACTCCATTGTCTCTCCTGCTAGTTCTGATCTTGTAGTTTCTGAGCCACACCTCACCTTCCCAACAGCACAATAGTATTCATGACCACAGCTCCTCCACAACATTTGGAGTTTCTCGGAAAACTAAATATCATAGCAGTTCTTGGAAAAGCAGGTGTCACTGGTTTTGATTTGTGGGTCAATTCCTAGAATCCATTTTGTAGTAATAACAATTCGTGAATATAATTAATTCTGCGTGAAGTAGGCGTGGCTAATATCGGCGAATTTTTATATGCACTTCGTCCGAGCTAAAATTTAATTTTTGCTTGTTCTTTGTCTCCAGCTCAAAGCCATCATGACTTCTATGCTTAGAAATAACAGAATCACAGCTCGCCAGATCTGTATCCTAGGTCGAGATAGTGGGAAGGAGCCATTTCTGACAGCAAAACCCGTTTCACAGAAACTGTCCTCTTACAGGACAACTAATGGAAATATTGCAGCAATAGATTTCGGCACTACTTCTGTCTCTCTCGCCTACACCACTTATGGCAGCAAAGATGTGAACACACTGCCCCTGGACCTGTCAAACATGGACACCAGGATCACGAATTGCATTCTGCTTGAGAAGAAGCCTGATGGCGGCTACAAGGTAGCTTCATTCGGCCATAATGCACGCGGAGTGTACAGCAAAGTCCGCAATAGGGAGAGCTATGTTTATTTCGAGAGAATCAAGATGTTAATGAAAAGAGAAAAGGTGAGACCTTAAATCTATTGCAGAAAATTAATTATTATTTAAATTTTTATAGAAAGTTATTGATCGCGAGTCTCCTGTAGAATCTTTTTCTGGAGCTAAGTTCTATCTCGTTGAAGTTGTTGCTTTCATTTTGCGATACTTGAAGGATTACTTTCTTGATCATCTCCGAAAGACAAAACCTTCTCCAATCTTGAAGGCAACTGATTTTGATTGGGTCATTACCGTACCTGCTATATGGGATCCTCGAGGAAAAAGAATGATGAGAGAAGCTGCTTACTTGGTAAGTATGAATAACTAATAATGAAAAGGGACAATTTTATTTTAATTTATTTATAGGCTGGGCTTTTAACAAGTGATCCTGGAATATCAACATTGACTCCGTACGGTGTCTCTCTCCTCCCATCCCCTCAAGAAACCAATGCAAATCATCTGACGCTGGCCCTTGAGCCGGAATGTGCTGCACTCTACAGTCAAACGATCACTGAAGTTGATGTCGCTAATGCAGACAATAAGGATTTTCCTCAGCCCAAAGGAGCGTACATGGTCCTTGACATAGGAGGAGGGACGGTGGATATCACGGCTCAAATTAAACAAGACGATGGGAGTTTTGAGGTCATTAACGTGCCGTCGGGAAACGACTGGGGAGGGACCAAAGTCAATGAACAATTTTCGAAATTGTTTCAAGAAATTGTCAACGATGAGAATTTTGAAAATTTTCTCAGCTCTGGTGATCACGAGAAGCGACAGATTGTTCTGAACGAGCTGCTGTATAGAGAATTTGAGCTCCAAAAGGTCACCTTTGGCGACTCGTATGATAAATTTGATCACAATGATGAGGTTGGAATCATCATACCACGCAGTATCGTTGATTTCTATGGATCTGAAGTGATAGAGAAAGGAGCAAAGAAATTCTCTGGAATAGAGTACGTTGATGACAGTGATTGTCTTTACATTGAGAGTGGTGTCGTTGAAGAGAGGCTGTTTGTTCCAGTCCTGGAGCACATTGCAAGCTGTGTCATGATTGCGATTGATAGCACCACTCAGGTGCATGGAGATATCGATACTTATTACTTTGTTGGTGGATTTGGTGGCAGCAAGTATCTCTACCAGTACCTCTGTGATGCCATCACAAAGAAGTACGGCTCCATCTCGCACATGATAGTACCCAAGAGTCCTAAACTAGCTATTGCTCAAGGAGCCGTGATTTGGAGGAGGAGTCCTGATAATATCACTGCTAGATGTATTGATGCCACTTATGGTATAGCTCTACAAATTCCTTTTGATCCAAAGGTTCATGATGATCAATACAAAGTCTACAATGAAGAGCAACAGCAGTTCAAGTGCAACAATATCTTTTCTGTGTTTCGTCAGCGAGGTGATGTTGTTAAATCAAGTGAAGCATATCTCATAGAAGGAATAGCTCCAGCTTACCAGAAAATGACAACCATGAAGTTTGATATCCTGTCTACTTTAGATAGAGGCGTCCAGTACACAAAAGATAAAGATGGAGAAGAAACAGCCACAAAGATTGGAGAGCTTGTCATTGATATACCTAACATAGGTGATCTTCAACGCTCTCAACGTTTGGTTGATGTCACTGTTGATTTCAGTGGTACTGAGATACATGCTAAAGCAAAGTACAGGGTCACTGGTGATGAGGTTGATGTTCTTTGCGATTTCTTATCTGTTGCTAAACCATTTCAAAGAAATTAAAACTAAATATATCATTAACTAACTATATAGTTATTTTTGCTGTGTGCATTTAAAATTAATTATTTTGGAAGTATATACTAAAGTTTAAGAATTCAAATCACTGTTTCTTTATTATAGTCTTGTGATTCATCATTTGTATCTTTATCGTCTTGCGATTCATCATTTGTATGTGATGTTTCTTCTGGATCAGCATGCACTGTTATTTCTGGAGACACTGATACTCCTTCATTAGTATCAGTATCAGTTTGTATCTCTTCTTCTTTTTCTGTCAGAGTAAACTGATAGCATCATAATGTGTGTAGTTACTAACCTTCCTCTGGTATTGGCTCAGTACAATTTCCTACTAGTCCTTTAGCAGCAATGTGTAACTGGTTGCCATATGTAAGAACAGGTCTATACCACAGCAACTGATCCCCTTCTTTTTTCTCATCCCATGTCTTTCTGTTTGTGTCACAAAGATCTTCATGGTAGCTATCACCCATTTCTTCTGAACCAACCACCAATGGGGGTATAAGAAACAGCATTTCTTGAGTTAGCTTTATTGATTTTTTGACATTTGTTGCTGCTTTTTCCTTCATCTCTCCTTCTAATTGGACAGCTACTTTTGTACAAGCCTAACAAGATCAATTTTATATTAACCTTGTCAATAAACTGCAGTACCTTTGTAATAGTATCTTCACTAAGCTCATCAGCTTTACTTTTATCACTATCATCTTCAGTTTTGTCATCAGGCAGTGAAGGGTGAAGTATTTTGTAAGCACTAAGAAGGAGACCATATGCTCCATATTGGTCTCTATCACCACTTGTTACAATTGCATTGCAACCTTCTCTCTCTACAACTGGTGCAGTCAGTAGTGTTTCAAGCTCCTTTTCTACCACATCATTTACCAATTGTTCAATAATGAGACGGTAAGTATCCTATAATTTAGAATGCATTCAATAATGTCAAACTGATTATTAGCCAGCCAACATACACTATGAAGCTTTAACCATAAGCCAATGTAGTATGAATGGTGTAGTATAATGTAGTATGAATGGTGTAGTATAATGTAGTATGAATGGTGTAGTATAATGTAGTATGAATGGTGTAGTATAACGTAGTATGAATGATGTAGTATAATGTAGTATGTTGCATAGTGTGTGTGTGTAGTGACTGATTTTCAAACTATCATTTTTCTCATGTACCTCTGCTTCAGAAAAGGTTCTCAGTTTCTTCAGTGCGTCGGTATAATCAGGAAGCTTTTTTTTATAACTACAATATTTGGTTGATAATTTAATCAATGTTTTATCGACTTACTTTTGTTTTAGCGTTTCCTTTTCACTTTTAAGTTCTTTAAGTTTAGCTTCTTTATCTTTTAATTCTTTTTTCAGCTCTATACGCCTTAACAATTTATTAATAAAGATCATATCAGTTAGTATTATTCACTTCTCGTATCTTTTCCTTTGTTCCTCTTCATATCTTTTCCTTTGTTCCTCTTCATATCTTTTCCTTTGTTCCTCTTTCTCGGCCTTTAGCCTAAACACACATTCTTAATGTACTTGCAGTCATTATAATCAATCACCTCTTTGTCTTTTCTTCTTTTTCCTTTTGTTGCTTACGCCTACAAAGAGAGTCTTAATGTAAATTCTGATAATTATTAATCACTTTAATATTTCTTCCTCCAATTGAGCATGCACCCTTTGGCCAACCCTGCAAATTAATATAATAAAGCAGCGAGTATTATTATGCATTTTAATAGTGAACTCACTGATATTCTATAAACATCTGCCCATTTGGTTGCCTTTGTTTTCTTTTCTCATGTACTTCCCCCTGGATTAGTTCTTCTAGTTCTTCTTGAGGCCTACTTAAATTTAAACTCTTTGTACTATGATCTATCTACACTCACTCATTTAGTGTTGATTCTTCAAAATCAGGATTTACTTTATCATCTGTAGAAATAGGTTTAATTCTCACTTTTGATTTGTTCTTTCCTTTTTTGTTCTTACTAATATCTTCTTGTGCTGTTCTACCATCCAAACCTCCATCCTGTTGATCCTGTGTCAAAAACAATACAACAGGAGACAGAATACAGGGAAATAATTGGCAGACAAATATTGTTGCATTCTTGAGTATCTTTTTAGCCAATTCTTTTTTCCTGCTTATTTCATGAACACTGCTTATTCCATGAACACTGCTTGTTTCATGAACTATTCTTCTTTCCTCCATCTCTAGCTCCTCTCTCCAGTTCAATGACCACCTCCTTTTACATGTGTTATTAGTATTCATGACATTCATGACTTCTTGGAATCGTGAGTATTAACTAAACATACACAGTTCCTGGAATTGTAGTGACTACAAGCAGAGTGCTAAGTATATGAATAGTAGATTTTATATCACAAAATACGGTACATCCATAAACTAGGAAAATAATAACTATAATTATGTAGCCCTAATAATGCATGCAAAATCAGTCCTATCAGGAGTTAAGTAGATGAAGAGGCTTTGTTTTTTGGAGGCTCTAGGACTTTCAGCCTATCCTTGAGCTCTCCTGTCCTCAAAAACGATTCATAATCAGCTGGATCAAGATTCAAAATGACTTCCATGACAAAATCAAAAACCTTTTCCTGTTTTCTATCAGGTTGGCTTCCCAGTACCTATACACATACATAAATACCATAAGATAATACTTGAATTATCTACTTTCTCCTTAATCTCTGCTTGATCAATCTTTGAAATCATCATCTTAAAGGCTCGGTGCAAATCTCTCTTTGCTTCAGAAAGTTGACCTTCTGTTGTCTTTGAAAGCTCAAGTGTTTCCATAAGGTCCTTCTTTATTGTATCAATGATCTCTCTTTTATTTGCATCAAAACTTTCCTACAAACAGGTATATATGGAACCAAATGCTTTTATTATCAACAGCTTTACCTGCACAATAGCAGCACATAACTGCCATACTTTAAATTTATCCACTGAAGAGAGATCTCTAGGCATGTTACGGAAAGCACTCTTGAAATGATTCTGATACAGCAGTATCACATCTTGATGTGTTTGATCACCAGGTGTAATGTCACCATACATCTTACGAGCATCACGAGAGGCACTGGTGTATCTACAGCGATTTCATTACTGATTACTCTAACCATTATCTCACCTCTCTTCTTCTTCAATGATTTGTTTTATATGAGCAATCTCTCTATTGTATTATTAGTAAAATAATAAATGATAACAAAACCTAAAAACTTACTCTTCCAACTGACTAATTTTTTTATCCAGTTTGTCACCTTCCCTGTCAATTACATATATGATTGAGATTTTAGTGAGACGACTTGAGACTAGTATCCTAACCTTGTCAATTCTTCCTCTTCTTTGCTTTGTTTGTTAGAAGTAGATCTATATCGTTCCTGTTCTCTATTGATGATAGCCAGCTGTACTGGTTATTTAAAGATATATATATTTGTACCTTCCACTGTTTTCCATCAATCTTACTCCAGGATTTTCATGCCTAGTCGCCATCTCCTCTGCAATTTCATAGATATCGCCGCCAATGAAGCCACACCCATGCACAGTCCCGTTAAATGGGCGTGGTTATGATTTAATTATCACGATATTAATTTTTTTAAAGTTAAAATCAAAAGGCAAAAAAATTCATAATAAGTCAGTTGCATTAGTATTCCCCACCAGTCCTCTAACTGCAACATTTAAATGGCCGACATTCAATTGATTACCATGCACCAATACTGGACGATAGTATATCAATGGTCGCCCTTTTTGTTCTTCATCCCATGTCTTCCTATTGGTGTCCTGTACATCATCCCATTGCCGTTGTGGTTGTATGAGGAGTAGAGGAGGTAGCAGTATTAGCATTGAGTGTGTTAGTTCAATTGAACTAGTCACATTTCTCATGATAACTCCTTCATTTAGATCTAAACCCAAACCTGAGACTGAGTTTTCAACACTTGGCAGTATTGCCTACAATAAGAATTGTAATTGAAAATCTAAGTTCCAAAATTACTTTTGGTTTCACTCTGGTTCTCTCATCCTTTCCAACAGCGCTCAACAAAAGTCCATATATTTTATACTGTTCTTTCTGGTTCACATTACTTTGTCCCTCTCCTTCAGAACAGCTAAGCAAGGGATTGATGTATTTCTCCATCATCTTTCCAATCATAATATCTGTAATCTTTTCATAAACTTCCTTTAACAGGAAAATATAATATTATGTGAAGATTTAATTTTACTTGAAATGTAGTTAGGTCTAACACAGTACTATACTGAGTCTTTCTGTCAGCTTTCTAAGTCAATGCCATCATAAGATGTTATGTGTAAACATTCATTTTTACTTGAGGGTCTGACTGTTCTCTCCTTTCCTTCAGCTCTTCAATTTCTTTATAATTACAATCAACTCTAGTCTCCTTCTCCGGATCAACTTTAAGTAAGATGCATGCTCTTTTCCTCAATTCTTTCTTCACTTCTTCCAATTCAGTAACTGTTTTTCTATATAATCATCAGTATCAAATTTAATGGATCAGTATTAAATTTAATTGACACACTTTTTTTTCCTAACAAGTTTTTGAAGACTATTTTTTGAGCTATCTTTTGATTTTTTTGGTTGGTCCTGATGTACCAGGAGAGGTTTTTCTCTATCAATAGAAGAATCTAAGATTAGATTTAGCTGTCTTACTCATGATCGTTTTCACATTCGTTTTTACAACACCACCAGTTTTTCAATCCACAAGTTATATCACAGCCATCATCACTCATCTTTCCTCGTCTCTCTCCTTCTCGCTTCTTCCTGCTGCTTTACGAATGGAGGGCGGGGGTAGAGCTAGTTATAAATTTTACGAGTTTATTTAACACATAATAAATAAAATTATTGAATTTCTAATTGTGTCCATTCAATTCCAAGAAGTGTTTTGATTCCTAGTACTACAATCTAAATCATTGCCAGCGACAAACAATTCCTAGAATTGAGCCTTTGAGTGATTTCATGAGAATCAGAAACTTCTAGAGTGGTGACACCTCAGTGACGATTCCAAGAATTGTTTTGATGCTGCAAAGACTAACGATATTCATCATTGGTTGTAAAAGTTCCTTGAAATACTCCTTTTTCCTGGAATTGAGCAGTTATTATGAATAACAGCTATCAAGGCGGAGCCAACAACACTTATGTAAATTTAAAATTTTAAATGATATAAACTTTAGTAATGAAAAAACTTCAGTAATGGAAAAACTAATCATGTAATATATTACAGTTGACACTAGATCTATGTAATATTTATATAGTTCAAGTTTATTGTCTGCGAAGAAGTTGGATTCTATCTTGAAGTTCTCCTGTAGCAATGAATGATGCATAATCAACTGGATCAAGAGTTTGGATCATAGTCCACACAAAATCAAACATCTCTTCTTGCTCTAGTGGAATCTAATATCAAGAATAAGATATACAGTATATTAATAAGTAATGATACCTTCTCCTTCACTTTTTGTTTCACTTTTTCTGCATTGAATTGTGAGATTATCATTTTAAAGGCACGAAAGATATCTCTTGTATTTTCGTCCAGTTTGCATTCTGAATCATTGAAATCTTTCTTAAATGAATCATCCATTCCTTTCTTCATTGTTGCAATAATATCATCCTTCATTGCATCAAAACACACCTATAAGTAAATACATGCAAGAGATTCTCAAAATTTCATTTTTGGCGAAATTTGGCCCACTACCCTGTACTATAATAGTACAGCCCAATTTTGAAGCAACTTTAGAATTCATAAAAAAATCCCAAATTTGATTGGAATCAGTTCAAACTTTGTATACAACATAAAAAACATGTATATGCATCAGAAAAAAATTATTAAAATTAAAAATTAAAAATTTCATTTTTGGCAAAATTTGGCCATGTACTAAAGCACAGGGACTTTGGCCCAATTTTGGAGAACTTAAAATCATCATTGTGTATTTCAATGATAACAAATACCTGAAATATGTGTCCACACATCTGCCATATTTCAAATTTATCCTTATCTTCAGGAGGCCGGTCTTTAGGATAGAGATCTTTAGGCATGTTACGGAAAGCACTCTTGAAATGATTCTGATACAGCAGTATCACGTCTTGATGTGTTTGATCACCAGGTGTAATGTCACCATACATCTTACGAGCATCACGAGAGGCACTGGTGTATCTACAGAATGGTAGCTATATTTAAATATTGATTATTATAACTACCTTTCTTCTTTGTTTTCTATTTCTTTCAATTCATTGATTTCCCTTCATTTATTTTGTCAATATTCAATTATAATTTAAAGTCATCTTATCACATACCTTTCTAACTGCATAACTTCCTGATTTAGCTTATTATACCGTCTATAATTATAAATTTAGAAATCAATTCATTTTAAGTATTAATTTTGGCTATGCAGCTACCTTTGTAGTCGCGTTTCCTCATTGCTGGTTTCATCATGGTCTGTCTGCAGTAAAGGACTGATTCTAACAATTATAGCAGTTACTGTTGGCTCTGTATACCTACCCAAAGGATTCGGCTGGTTGGTATCCACTACCTCCATATCCTTCAATTTGGAGAGCAACATCTTCTCCTTCCATCCTGTAGCTGCTCTATGTCTCTCAGCTAGCTAACGCCTATTGTCTACGCCCACTTAATTTTAAAATTATAATTATTATTTGTAAATTTTTATTCTAAAATAAAACACTACTGCTAGACTGTCTATTATTATATCAAGAGTAGATCTACTCTTGATTATATTATACTAAGGTAAGAATGGAGTCTCTTTTTTACACTTCATATTTGCTGCAGGATCTGAAATAGAATTGCAATAGATCATTACTTTTCTGCACTGAATAGTGTCATTAAAAGCTCACCAGTAAATGGCAGTTGTTGTGTTTCCTACTAGTCCTCTAACAGATACTTGCAATTGATTGCCATGGACCAAAACAGGACGATAATATATCAAATCAGTATCATCGTCACTGCACAATGATTCATCCCATGTCTTCCTATTGGTGTCCTGTACATCATCATGCTGCCATTGAGGTTGTATGAGGAGTAGAGGAGGTAGCAGTATTAGCATTGAGTGTGTTAGCTCTAAAGATGCATTGACAAATTCATCAACAATTTGTACACCTTTAACAAATTTATACTCTTGATTTGATCGAATTTTAGCTAACACTTGTTTTGCAAGATCTTTTTGCTAAAGTAATATCAAAAGTAGAGACACATGCACACAAAACCTTAAGTATTTTACCTTTTTTTCTTTTTTTGGATGAGGAACACTTTTAATGCAAGCACTAAGCAATAGACCATAGGCTCTGTAATAATCTTTCTGAATATGATCTTTTTTGATTACGTTTATCAATTTCCCATTAGATTCCTCCATTGGCTTGGTAACTACAGATTCCTCTGGTACCTCTACATAGCTTTGACAGTGAACTAGAACAAGCTCTAGCAAGCATCCAGTAACATTTTTGAATGAATCCTGTCAAACATGTCTTAATGAATCATACAACAGATTGTTAAACTTACTTCAAAATTTTTGACCGTGTATTTTTTAAGTAATTCATCCCTTTTTTTCCCAAGAGCTGTTGGATATTCTGGCTGAGGTATTCTTTCTTTTAACTCATCTGTCTCTTGTTTAAGCCTGGCAATTTTACTATGAAAAAATAATAAATTGTCCATCATAGTTGTGAACATCAATTACATCTCTTTCTCTTTAATGGCATTTCTAAGTTCAGCATTGTTATCAGAACTAGTCAAAAATCTAAAAAGGAACAAGACAAATGATATCTTTTCTCATACTTCATTACCTATAAATACAGTATGCACCAATGCCTATTGACAATGCAACAACAACAGGAGGAAATAGCAATAGGAGTAAGGGAAAAAGCATCAATATAATGAGAATACGAATCCAATAGCGATGAGAAACATTCATCCTTATCATTATTGTAGACTGTACACTCTAGAGGTAACACTGATCGATAGCAACTGCAGTGCAGTTCCTGCTAAACTTGTTACTGCCTATTATACACACTATACTTGATGGCTTTTCCAAGAATCAATGATCATGAATTTAATTATAAATCATTTTTTTTAAATTCTATTTTAGTTACTAAATTTATAACACTAAAACCATAATAATAATTATTATAATTGTTTAACTATGCTTTAATTTGCTGGTACCAGATACTGATGACCTAAAGTATAAGAATTAACATCAACACAAATAATCTTTACTTGTTTCCCTTTCTTTAACTATTGTAGTACTGTTGCCAACTAGTCCCCTAGTAGCAACACTCAACTGACTCAACTGGTTACCATACACCAATACTGGACGATAGTATATTAATGGTCGCCCTCTTTGTTCTTCATTCCAAGTCAATCTGTTAGTATCTTGTATAGCATCATCTTGGAGTAGTGGTTGTGTAATGAGTAGCGGGGGTAGTAAGGTTAGCATTGAACGAACTAAACTGAGACTGGGATCGATACATCTTGCTTCAATTTTAGATTTATGGCTTTGTAGATATAATGAATATCTTTTATCTATCTTTCTCAGTACCTATTATATTTACCAATGAATGAGATGCAATTGATATAAATCCACATACCATTTGTTTGTCAATTTTTCCTTCTGAAATTTGAGAGTCATGAGCACTTAGGAGTAATCCATAAGGACTGTAGAGTTGTTTTGAATTATTTCCTGATCCTTGATCACTTACAGCTAGGAGGCTATGGAGATGGTCTTCAGCCATACTAGTGAGTACTCTGATAGTAGTTTGAAAGTATTTGTTGGCTACTCCCTTATTCCTGTCAAGATCCTATGAGTCATAGTTCAGTGATGCACATGTGAAGTGGAGCTCACCTCTTGACTTATGAGTTGATCATCAGCTCCAATGACATGATTCCTTCTCCTTTTAAGTTCAGCAAAAGCATATGCCTCAGGTTGTAGCCATTTCTTTATATTTGTCTCAGACTTTGCCTTTTGTCTTTCCAGGTCTCTCTTCCTTCTATAAAAGTCATATGTGTACCAAGCAATATCAATATAATTAGTCTAACCTTGTCATTCGGTCAATTTCAAAACGAAGAGTGCTAATAATAGAATAGTGACATGATTGCATGCATATCTTATATTGCCTTACTTTATCCTTTGTCTTTCTTCTGCTAACCTACTTAGAGTGATACAATAAAAATGGTAATATAACTTATACCTTCTTTGATTCCATAGGTCATTAATTAAGTTCCATAGCCACCGACAACAGAAACATATTCCTTTATAAAGCAGGACTCCACATTTCTTGAATAGATGTAAGACAAAGCCTATTCCATGGATTAGTCTCTCTCCATAATAGATTACAGTCTCCCATAGCCCAGTTGACATCACTCCATTGTTTGGAGGCATTGGGCTATGGACTGATAACTCTATGTACCTTACTATAAATGATACCATAATACTACTACTATACCAGTAGTTTATGCAGAGTTCCAGGAATTAGGATTTTAATTATATTCATGAACATGTGTTACAGTAGGGATATGTTACACCTCTTGGTCTTTATTTCCAGGAAATCAAGGAATACTATTTTAAGGTGCATTATGAGTGATTCATCTTTAGTTTGCTAAGTAAACTCATAACCAGTTGGTGTACGCAATACTCAATTCCTGGAACTGAGTATTGGAAACAAATTCATGATCCCATAGTATAGTGGCATGTACATACCAGCTAGGATCACCATGTCTGCCCTTTTAAATCAATTGTACATACATTTCAATACAATTATTGAAAACTAACTGTAAGAAACAAGCCTTAAGTCATTGCTATAAAACTAGCTATAGCTACATAAGTTTATTGTTCTTGATCAAACATTATTTCTTGAGGCTGTCTTTTCCTTGGCTCTCGATCATTAATGAATGGTATGTAGTCATCAGGGTGAAGAGCCATTAGAATATCCATGACAATCTTAACTTCTTTCCTTCTTTGTTCTTTTTCTTCATCACTACTAGTATTAGTAATCTATTAAATGAAGCAGCATTTAAAGCAAATTTTACGCTAAACAAGCAAACCTCTTCTATGATGTCTTCTTGAACTTTTTCATCGGAACACTGGGCTTGTAAAAACATTTGAAATGCCCTCTGTAAATCATATGTTGTCTCATCCAGCTTTTTATGATCTTCAAGTACTGCATCTTGAACCTTTTCAAGCATCTTTTGTATAAGCTCTTTTCTGTTATCATCAAATGCATCCTTTACATGTTAAAATAATAATAATTATAATAATAGAATAATTATTATAATTCCTTTTTATTATACCTGCACATTTTGTGCACAGTCTTCCCACACTTCATATTTATCTTTGCTTGTTATTTTCTTTGGCATGTTACGTTGAGCACTCTTAAAGTGATTCTGATATGCTAGTGTCACATCTTGATGGGTGGTGTCCCCTGGGGTCATGTCTCCATACATCTTACGAGCATCACGGGAGGAGCTGGTCAATCTATCAACATGTTCCTTCTCTCCCTCTAACTTTTTAATACTCCTATAAATTATTTATTTGTAGAGGATATATATATATTTTAATTACTTTTTCACTTCAGAACGTTTGCAATCTAGCCCAGCTTTTTGTCTGTCCCAGTTTTTATTTTCTTCCTTGATTTTTCTACAGATACAAGAATTAAAATTTCAGTTTTATAACTAAATTTCTTACAAGTTCAATTCTTTAATTGTTTGGGTGTCTTCATTTAGCAAATATTCAGCTTCTTCTAGTTTCTTGAGAGCAGGATTTTCTTCTATGCTTCGACTTCGTATCATCGTACTTCTCGATATCACGGGAAATGGCCACGCCTACAATCATATTACCGTACGCGTCTTAATTTTCGAGGTGTATTAAATTTCGTTATTTTCGTGCTCACCTTAAATCCACGAAATTTAAAACACCTCTAATGCCATTCTATTGTATGTAGACTATGGCCAGAACACGAAAATTAGCTCACACGAATATTAACTTTTGAGCAAATTTCATTGAAAACACGAAATTTTGAACCCTCGAAAATTTGGACGTATACGGTATTCTACAAGGCCGCGCAGAATACAGATTATAGCATCGTCATAGCATAGATAGTCTAATACTCTAATATCTATTATCTATAATAGCATACACACTCTATAATCTATGATTATAGCAAGAGTGGATATTAGGCATTATAGGAACTAAGCTAACACCAATGATAATAGATATAAGCCTTTTGAAATTTTGTCAAATGAAAACTCAACTATAAATCCTAGACAATAGTAAGTACAGCAATCAAAGTTTGTCTGCTTTAAATTATTCTTCACTATTTTTTGCTTCAGTAAGGCTTGATTCAGCATTGCTTGTTGAATCTTCTTCCTTATTTTCTTCTGGTAATTTTTTTTTCTTTTCCTCTAGTAATTCTTCCTTATTTTCTTCTGGTGATTCTTCCTTATTTTTCTCTGGTAATTTTTCCTTCTTTTCGTCTAGTGATTCTTCCTTCTTTTCTTCTGGTGACTCTTCCTTCTTTTCTTCTGGTGACTCTTCCTTCTTTTCTTCTGGTGACTCTTCCTTCTTTTCTTCTGGTGACTCTTCCTTCTTTTC